TGTTTTGAAAGACTTCCAGATGTGGAATGTGGGCCCTGGGAATCAGAGCAAAGGGTCTTTAGTGTTTTCGGAATCACCTCCAGTTGAATGGCATCTAATAATCTGTACAAAAGACACACAGTCCGGAGCCACTGCTCAGGTGGCACACACAATGCACTACTGATCAGGGTGAAACACATTTGTATTTTCCTTTATAACCCATGCTTACTCTCTGCCACTGCCCACACGTGACACCTACCGGTTCAGTGTACTAACACTGCCCTCTCGATGTATGTACTTTTCTGTGTATCGGACTGCAGCTGAGGACATGATTACAATGAATTTCCTATTTCCAGATAGGCTCACATGCCATATCATTTTCCTTCATTGATAGAGTTAACATAAATGTAATAGGCTAGCTATACTCAGTATCTGTTAAACAAAAAGGGAAAATGTTAACTTGGAGGGAAATTTCTTCTTGGTCAATTTTTTTTTTTTTTTAATCTGTTTTCAGCTTTCCTAAATCACTAGCAATTTGGACAAATGACTTTTGCTCACACTTGTTGATTAAGACATTTAAGCCAAGGGCATCTGATCAGTCAGGGAGAAACTGAGTCTTTGGGACTTTGTTCAGTCAAGATAAAGATGTGAGTGGACCCCTTGCCCATGAAAACTGAATTAGTGCTACAAATTGGAGGGTCCTATCCTGAGCCTACCCGAGGGACTAATATAGGAAGATGACTGAATATCAAGGACTTTTGAAAAAGGCCAAGGAGGGTATACTTCTGATTTCGAAATCACAAAGTGAATATGATTTCTCTTCTGCTTTTAAAAATTGACTGCTGCTAAAAGCAACTAGGAGATATGGAAACAGAAATGCAAACTGTATCTTAAAACTAAGAGTCACCGTACATGAGTAAGAGCTGGTAAAGGCAGTGAGAGTCAAAGAGAGAAGACAGAGCCCAGACACAGCTAAAGAGTGCAGCCCCAGCCACAGGAGCCCTTGGGTCCAAAGTGCAGGGCAAAACTGACCATTTCACACAGGAACACCAGATACAGGCAAGCTGGCTGTTAGCAGGGCTCCCACGGCCCAGTCTGGCAGGGAAGAAAGGCATGGATATTGAACTGTCAGAAAACAATGACTGATTCCTGTTTCCTCCACGCTATTTTTTGGAATCACATTCCCTCATTAGAACAATGAATAAAGAAGACTGGAGAAGAGTTGATGCCTTTGAATTGTGGTGTTAGTGAACAATACTGAAAATACCATGGACCGTCAGAAGAAGGAAGGAATATATCCTGGAAGAAGTGCAGCAAGATGCTCCTTAGAAGCGAGACTGGCCAGACTTCATCTCACCTACTTTGATCATGTTGTCAGAAAGGACCATTCCCTGGAGAAGGATATCGTGCTTGGTAAAGTAAAGGGTCAGAGAAAAAGGGGAAAACCCTCAGCAAGATAGGTTGACACAGTGGCTGCAGCAATAGGCTCAGGTATAGCAGGGATCGTGAGGATGATGCAGGACTGGGCAGTGTTTCATTCTGTTGCACACAGGATCGCCATGCATCTGAGCTGACTCCACGGCACCTAATGACAATAACAATACATAATAGAAGTACAGTGGTGGCTCAGTGGTAGAGTTCTTGGATTCCACGTGGGAGACCCAGGCTCAATTACCGACCGATGTGCCTCAAGCATAGCCCCAACCATCTATCTGTCAGTAGGGGCTTGTATGTTGTGATGTAAACAGGTTTCAATGGAGCTTCTTGATTAAAATGGACTAGGAAGAGAGGCCTGGCAATCTACTTCTGAAAACCAGCAAATGCAAACCCTAAAGATCACAATGCTCCCATCCACAAGTGACCATGAGACAGCACAGGACAGGACCGTGCTTTGTTCCATTATGCACAGTGTCACTATGAGTCAGGGGCTGACTTGACAGCTGCTAACAACAACAATAAAAGAGTGAGAGCATCATTTCTTTGCCTCAGGCTGTACCTTTTTGGAGATTCAGGATACTACAGTAACTAGCTGCTTATGTTTTCATGGTCATGTAGGGTCAGAAAATGAAAATTTAGGCCCAAGGAAGATAGGAAGATGATACTGAGAACACCTCATACCCGCATGACAACAAAAAGATGACCCTGGATAATGACATTTCTCCACAGCCTGGACTACCCAGGATTCTCTTAGATGAAGCTCCACTGAAGGTGAACATACTATCCAAAAACATAAAAAGTTCTCTATCAAGAGTAAGCAGACTCCCAAGGCAGCAGTGTTAGATCCCTAATTCTTGTTGGTGTTATAGACTATAAAAAGAATCATTCAACCCAGGGTTCTATTTTTTTAAAATTTGTCTTTAGATACACTTATCATGAGAAATGCACAGCGATCATCATTACAGCATTGCATGTCAAACACAAGATGCAAAAACAATTTAAATTTAAGTGTCCACTGTCAATCGGCACTGGTTAAATAAATATGGTACAATAGAATTGAGTGTACCAAGGACTGCCAGAAGAATGAACAAATTTTTCTAAGAAGAAGTTCAGCTGGAATGCTCCTTAGAAGCAACAATGACCAGATTTCATCTCCTGTACTTTGGTCATGTTGTCAGAAGAGACCAGTCCTTGGAGAAGGACATGATGCTTGGTAAAGAAGAGGTTAGTGAAGAAGAAGACCTTCAACAAGATGGATTGACACAGTGGCTATAACAATGGGCACAAACATGACAATGCTTGTGAAGATGGTATAGGATCAAGCAATATTTTGTTCTGTTGTCCATAGTGTTGCTATGAGTGGGAACCAACGTGATTGCACCTAACAGCAACAACAACAATACAATAGACACTATTCAGCCATGAAAAAGAAATGTACTGATAAGAAATGATACCCTAAGTATACTGTTAGATTGAAAAAGAAAACATGGTACATGACAGTGTATATGCTACCTTGGATTTGTGTGTGTATATGTGTGTGTGTTGTGTGTACCTATTAGTGTATAACAGAGCCCAGCCTCCGCCCCGTTTTGTAAATAAGGTTGTATTTGACACAGCCATGCCTAGTCATTTACATACTGCCCATGTCTACTTTCGTGTGACAGCAGCAGAGTTTATTGGTTGTGACAGAAAACACAAAACCTAAACTATCTGGCCCTCTTCAGAAAAAGTTTGCCAACCTTTGACATGAATGCTCCTTGGAAAAAATACGCACAAAATTGCTAATAGCAGTCTCCTCAGGGGAGCGGATCTGAGGGGACTGGGTGTGAGGAAAATTTATTTTTCATTCTCTAGCTCTGGTAGCGTAGTGCCTAAGGCACTTGACTGCTAACCAGAAGGCTGGCGGTCCAAACCCACCAGCCACTACTTGGCAGGAAGATTGGGCAATCTACTTCTGTAGTGATACTGTCTTGGAAACCAAAGGAGGGGTCACTATGAGTTAGATCCGACTAGACTGCAGTGAGTTTGCTTTTGGATATACCCTTTGGTACCATCTGGACTATGTAGTGGGTTTATCATCTATCGTAGAGGAAGGAGAGTATGAAGGAGTTACCAGGGTCACTCAAAACAGCATCTTCTATGCTGGAACCATTTTACACTACCTTTCTACTTTCCTTGCAGAAGGAATGAGAAAAATCCAGACCACACTTGTAGCAAGAGAAGACAAGTGCTGCTGCCAAGGACAAGCAACAAACAGGAAAAGGAAAGAAAGCCACACACTTGGTCGTATTTGGAGTAAAAACCTTCTTACACTTGTGCTGTCTTGAATGAGTAATGAGAAACTTTGATTATATGACTAAATTGATTTCAAACAAAAAACTAAAATACTTGTTTTAAGAGATTGCAGTTTCAGAAAGATTTTCTTAAAACAAGATTTTATTTCAAGTAAGCCTTTTTCTCCTTCCCCTCAGGCAGAGTTTTAAATGTTTAAAGATGTTTAAATCACCTCAGGGCTCAGTTTTCAAATATTTAAGATTTTTAAAAACGTACTGATTTAAAAATATATATATATATATATATCAACTAGTGAGAGAAGGGTCTAAAAAGAACCTACGTCAATTTGTATTTGAGGTGGAGTTGTTTTTTTTTTTAACATTTAAAATTAAAAACATGAGAGAGAAAGAGTCCTCAAAAAAAAGAAAAAAAAAAAAAATCTACTAAGTATCTTACTTTCATCCATTTAATCTATGCCAGCATATCATCTCCCACAACTCCAGTATTCAACATTGAAATCACACTTTTGGAATTATTGAGGTCAGTAGTTTATGCTCTGATGAAGGTGAGCAATCCCCAATGACTCTGCCCCTTGAATATTTAATTGCTTCAGATAGCCATTTAGTAGGGCATCCCCAAGCCTTTCCCTGGAGTGTTTGTGTGAGACAATTCAATGCTTCACTCTAAGGCTCTAGTTACCTGTCAGTAAAATTACAACCCAGCTGCTTCCTGAAGTTTGATACAAGAACTTTTCAGGAGCAGAAACTAGGGAAAGAGAGCCTGAAAAAATGTTTCCAACCAGCATCTGCTTGAACATCTGGGCAAAAGCACAGTATTCTGCTGCACTGCTTTATGGGCCACCTGAAGGCTGCAGAGCCAAAGCCCAGGAATGGAGTTATCTTCCATGCAAGGTCCCAGGGCCGCCCCTAGCAAATTAGGAAAAAGTGAACCTTCCTCTGGGGGGAGTACAGCTTTGCTCCAGAGTATGTGAGCACAGGCTGGATTTCTGCCCCTTCCTCCTGTCAGCTGAGTTCCTTGGTGCATGAACAACCCACTCAATTGCCCATGGCAGACTCGCAAGCTCCACATCTTGACTGCTTAATGGTTTCCACATCCAGGTTTTCACTCCTGCCCTAGGATTTCTGCATGCATTTTTAGTTGCAAAAGGGAAGACAAAATTATTTCAAAAAGTCCCACAAATAAGCCTGGGTTTCATTAAGAAGCTAGTGCCCTGAATCAGAACAAGAGTGGTCTAAGAAATGCAATTGTTTCCTCCCATGTGTCCACAGGGATGTCACGTTGGGACTCACCGTGGTAATTCCAGCCACATGACCCAGGAGGGGGACCAGTCACCTGGCGGGGCCGTGTTGTGGTTGGAGTCCAGGGCTGCTGGGCTGCTGCAGTCTTCCTCAGGCTCTTGTTCTTTGACTTCCAAAGCTTTGAGCACCATCAAGGAAGATGTGCTCTTCAACAATGCAACCGCCTCACTCCGGCTCACCTCCGTTAGTTCAATCCCATTCACATTCAACAAAATGTCACCTGATGACCAGAGACACAAAAGCCATCCCCAGTGAGGGTGGAAACAGTAACTTCTGTTTAAAGTACAAAGGGGCCAGGGAGTGGCTGAGATGCAGGGTAGTGGTGAGGGTGAGGGGCATGTCATTAGTCTCCTACTGACATGAGGCTGATTCTCCTATAAAAAGGGGCAGGGGACAGTGCATGTTCCAACGTGCAAGTAGGAAACTCAAAGTGGAGCTTATTTGGAGTTTTCTAAAGCATACTCATTGGTACGTGGTTCTTATCTTAGAAAAAAGAAAGGAAAGAAAGAAGAAGGAATAAGAAAGGAAGGAAAGAAGGGAGATTAGCCTTATACTAAAGAAAGCTTACTTTTTCACTCCTTTTGTTTCTTGTTTTTAGCGTGAAGGGGGAGCACCTGGCAAAAGCTCCCAACACCTGCACAGAGGTTGGCATGCAGTTGGCATTCAATAAATATGAATTAGATGCATGAATAAGACTCTTTCCATGAGTGTCTCCAGAAGAGTCTATAATAATTCCAAAAAATGGTCCTGAAACTATGTTCCTAACGTGGTGAAAAAGAATTAACAGCATTTCTATTCATTGCAAAGGTGAAAATAGCTACCATTAGCTAAGCATCTACTGTGTTCTGGACCTTTTTCATACATCATATTGTATAATCCTCTAGCTCATGTATTCTTTCTTGGTTGATCTCATCATTCTCCACCCAGGTGCATGCAGAATAGCAAGAAAAACTAAATACATACTTCCCTCACCCCCATTTTCTATCTATAATCCTGCCTCCTTTGAATATCATCTTTTTCATACAGAAGAGTCATAGCAGGAGTGAAAGGATAGGAGAACAAACATGGGAAAGACCTTGAGTTCTGCGACCAGCAAAGAAGACCCCTCAGGTTGGCTGACTGGACCTCTGTCATGGTGCCTTCTGTGGCTCCTCAGACAAAGCAAAGGTACTCCAGGAGCTTCCTGTTTTAGCTCTTAAATCTGAACTCTTACCTTCAGGTTAACTGGCCTAACTGAGCAACCATCTGAGTTATTTCTTCATGTGAGTTAGCAATATTATTAAGGATACATATCTGAAGAGGCAAATTTGACATTTCCTTTCTTCACCCACATTAGCCCAGAACACGAGACTAAAATAGTGAAACACTTTTCATCCAAGGGTAAATACCCAGCACTTTTACTTACAAATATTCATCAGATCAAAATCTATCAAATGATTTCTTCTATCCAACTCATAAAATTAATTCATGAATTAATTTCATCATTGGATCAATTCAGTGAAGAACCACTTAGAATTAATGGAATCAAATTATGCCATTTAATTAAGGTCACTTGCTCATAAGTGTATCACCAGTAAAACCAGGTGTTGCCGGGTCATCTTAGACCCATGGTGATCATATGTGTGCCAGAGGAGAACCGTGCTCCATCACAGGCATTTTAGTTGCTGATTCTTTGGAAGTAGGTCACCAGGCCTTTCTTCCAAGGTGCCTCTGAGTGGACTTGAATCTCCAGTCTTCTGGCTAGCAGCTGAGTGTGTGAACTCTTTACACCACCCAGGGACTCCGTAATTGTATCCTTTCCCTGTTAATTCCTGGGATTGCTTGAAAGCTCTTACTTTACAAGCAGGCAAAGTGCCCTATATCAAGCTTCATGAACTCAGGAGAGCGAAACCCAGTCTAGCAGCTTTACTTAAGCCAATCATTGTCAATGAGTAATAGCAATATACCTTGGCCAGATTACCCACCTATTCTCTTGATAATTTTGGAAACAATTACCTAATGGACAAACCAAACCAAACCAAACTCACTGTCCTGGGGCCGGATCTGACTCATACCACCCCTCCTTTGGTTTTTGAGGTGGTATCTCTACAGAAGTAGATTGCCCAATCTTCCTTCCAAGGAGTGGCTGGTGGATTTGAACCTCCAGCCTTCTGGTTAGCAGTCAAGTGCCTTAGGCACTAAACCACCGGAGCTGCCTATCTAATGGAGAAAGCTGCTAATTCCTCTGCCACCCCAGTTTCTTGGGTCTCTTTACTTTTTACCTGTTTTTATTCTTCCATCTCTGCTTATGACTCCTCCAGGCTCAACACTGATGACATAGATGGGCAAGTCCCATTCCCTGTGTGATGCTCCCCCAGCCACGGTCATGCCGAGGGACTCGCTGGGGTCTTTTCGGACACTTACCACCTTCTCATGACAAGTGACTGCAGGGTGGTTGAGCTGAAAGCAAAGACAGAAAAACAAACATGGTGGACTTGTTCTCAAGGGGTTTCCATTTCCTACATGCAAAAACTGCCCAAACTACATAAATATATGGCAGTGGTCCTTTGTATCACAGAGAAAAACATTCACAGAGGGTCCCATCTGCCTCCTGCTCCCCAACAGAGTTACATTATCTCAAATTCTGTAGGCTCACTCAGAGAAAATGTCCAGTAAAACCAGAGGGAGGAAAAGGTTGGAGGCCACTGGAGAAATAACAAGAATACAAAGTGAACTACATCCACATTTTTTCAAGTGAATAATTTATTCCTGGTAGTAGTGACTCAATATTTCATAAAACTCTTGGCACTCATCAAGAATTTTTTCTAAGTTAAAAAAAAAGCCACATTTCTATTAAATGCCTTCATTTTAATTTATGCAGGTAATCAATTTATAGAATTCCTCAAAGAAAAATAGTAATCAACTTCATAGATACTATAGTCATTCAAAAAGACCTCTAGTGGTATACTGCCTAAGGCATTTGACTGCTAACCAGGAGGTTGGCAGTTCAAACCCACCAGCCACTCCATGGAAGGAAGACTGGGCAATCTACTTCCATAAAGATTTACTGTCTCAGAAACCCAGTGGGGGTCGCTATAAGTCAGAATCAACTCTATGGCAGTGAGTTTGAGTATAGTCTTTTGAACAGAAAAAGGAGATACTAATTAATAAAGGTTTAAAATCACCTTTATTTAAAAGGTATGTGTCAGGGTTATATCCTTTCACCATACTTAGTTAGTCTGCATGCTGAGCAAATAATTTGAGAACCTGAGGCTATATGAAGGAGAGCAAGGCATCAGGATCGGAGGAAGAATCAATTAGTTATTAACAACCTGCAATATTCAGGTGACAAACATTGCTTGGTGAAAGTGAAGAGGAATTGAAGCACTTACTGATGTAGGTGAAAAACTACAGCCTTCAGTATGGAGTACATACATGTCAACATAAAGAAAACAAAAACCCTCATAACTGCACCAATAAGCAATATCATGATAAACAGAGAAAAGGTTAAGGGAATTCGTGAAAACCAGACAAATTTTATAAGAGATACTAAAGGGAGTCCCACAGACACATCTTAGGGATGGAACAGCTCAAGTCTCCCTGTGACACCTTCACACCCATAGTTGCCTAACTTTGGGAAAGGCAAAGAGTTAAATATGACAGAGATGATTTTCTTTCCCATCTATGTTTTCTCTCTGCTCCATTTTCCTACTTTGGACAGCATAGTATGTTCTCTGATGTTTAAAAACATAATTCATACATTGACCCTTGACATAGTTCAAGCTTATTAAAAATCATCATGGTCACTGGTGTACTTACCACTCAGCCATAAAAAATATTTACATTTTTGCATATTTTCTTTGGAATTTTAAAGTAAAACATTTTAGACATGAAAAAGGCATAAAGAGTAATAGAAAGACCTACCCATATACCTTGAAACTCTGTTTCAGAAATGAATGTTCCAAGTATAATTTCAGTCCCTCTGTAACTTCTCCGCAGTCCCAGTCCCTTAATTTCCCTCAGGGGAATCTTGCTCCTCCTTAATTTGGTGCCTACTGTTGATGAGCGATATTGAGTCAATTACAACTCATAGCAACCCCATACCACAGAGTGGAACTGCTCCACAGAGTTTTCCTGCCTGTAATCTTCACAGAAGCAGATTGTCAGTTCTTTGTCCCGTGGATCCACTGGGTGGGTCTGAACTGCCACCTTTCGGTTAGCAACTGAGCGCTTAACCATTGCACCACCAAACCCACTGCCATGAATCAATTCCAACTTATAGTGACCCATATAGGACAGAGTAGAACTGCCCCACTGGTTTCCAAGACTGTAAATCTTTACGGAAGCAGACTGCCACATCTTTTTCCCACAGAGTGGCAAATGGGTTCAAACCTCTGACCTTTTTTTTAAGCAGCAGACTGTGCCTTCAGGGTTACATAATTTGGTGCTTCTTATTCCTTAACTTTGCAACTGGCTAATATAAAAAATTTCTCTCCCACAAGCCCTTGGTTATTTCTTTGAATCATTTATGCTCCTACTTTGAATAAGCCACAATTTTTCCTAAATGAAAGAAAAGTTAGAGGATCATTAAAAAGTAAATCATCAAGGAGCCATGCATGTCTTAGCTTCTTTTTGAATCTGCTTTTTCTGGTGAGGGCATTTCAGAAGGCAGATAGAACCATAAATTAAAATGAAATTAAAACTACAATTTTCCACCAGGGCACTTTGTTATGAGCTTTCTAGGAATTCGACACATGACCAAGGGTTGCAGCAAACATTTGATCAGATTCTCTTGGCTCTTCTCATGATTCATGATGGTTATTGTTGTTGAGTGCTGTTGGGTCAATACTGATTCATAGTGACTCCACAGGACAGAGTAGAACTGCCTCATAGAGTTGTCTTTACAAGAGCAAATCAACAGGTCTTCCTCTTACAGAGCCTCTGGGTAGGTCTGAATGGCCAACCTTTCAGCTAGCACATGCGTGTTTAACTATTGTGCTACCATAGCTCCTTTGATCATGGTTGTTGTTGTTCTTATGTACTGTCAAGTTGGTACCAACTCAAAGTGAGCCTAGGTACAACAAAACAAAACACTGCCCAGTCCTGTGCCATTCCCACGATTATTGCTGTGTTTGAATTCATGGTTGTAGCCACCATGTGTCAATCCATCTAGTTGAGAGTCTTCCTCTGTTTCGCTGATCCTCTGCTTTACCAAGCATGATGTCTTTCTCTAGGGACTGCTCTCTCTTTATAACATGTCCAAAGCGTGTGAGATGAAGTCTCACCATTGTCACTTCTAAGGAGTATTCTGGCTATACTCCTTCCAAACAGATTTGTTCGTTTTTCTAGCAGTCCATAGTATATTCAACATTCTTTGCCGACATCATAATTCAAGGCATCAGTTCTCTTTGATTTTCCTTATTATTATCTAATTTTTATATGCATATGAGGCAATTGAAAATACCATAGTTTGGGTCAGGTGAACCTTAGTCCTCAAAGTGACATCTTTGCTCCTTAACACTTTAAAGAGATCTTTTGCAGTAGATTTGCACAACACAATACATCATCTGATTTCTTGACTGCTGCTTCCATGGGTGTTGATTGTGGATCCAAGTAAAATGAAATTCTTGACAATTATATTATTTTCTGTTTATCGTGATGTTGCTTATTCGTCTAGTTGTGAAGATTTTTTTTTTTTTAATGCTAAGATGTAACCCATACTTAAGACTGTAGTCTTTGATCTTCATCAGTAAGTACTTTAAGTCTTCTTCACTTTCAGCAAGTAAGATTGTTTCCTCTGCATATTTCAGGTTGTTAAGGATTCTTCCTCCTATCCTAATACTGCATTCTTCTTCAGATAGCAACCCTAGTGGTGGTTGAAAAAGCAGTAGGACAGTTCCTAGCATCACATCAACATGCAAGCCACCACAGTACAACAAAATGGCAGCAAGTGATATGATGGTTAGACAGAAGGAATTTTAAAAACACAGTGCCACTAGAGGCTTCATTATTAAAAGTTTAGTTAACTAATATTTAATTTACTCTCATTATTAAGCTTAATGAATTATTATAGTTAATTAAACACAGATTGATTAGTTATTAAATGAGTAAGCTTGTTTTTCTCTATAAATACTACTAGTTTAATTTAAACATGCTAATGGCTTTGTTGTTGTTGTTGTTATGTGCCATCGAGTCAAACCCGACTCATAGCGACCCCTCCTTGGGTTTCCGAGGCAGTATCACTACGGAAGTAGGATTGCCCAGCCTTCCTTCCGAGGAGTGGCTGGTGGGTTTGAACTGCCAGCCGTCTGGTTAGCAGGCAAGTGTCTTAGCCACTATGCTACCAGAGCTCCCATGCTAATGGCACTTAGTAACAAAAAGATATAAGGGAGTTCTTACCCATAAAATATTTTAGCAAGATGTATAGGATCTGTATAAGATCTTTACCATGATGTTTGTTTCAGTTACACAGTGCTGCTCTGACAGGAATAGACCACAAATGGGATGCCTTTAATAAACAGGAGTTTATTCTCTTATAGTTTTGGAGGCTAAAAGTTGAGTTCAAATTGCCAGGCTCTAGGGGCTGGGTGAAAGCCCCTCAACCTTGAGCTTCAGCTCTGTCTCTTGTTCCTGGCCCATTGCAGCTAGAGGCATCTCTTCACTCAGGCAACTGCTGGTTGCTGAGGCTGACAAATTCAAGGTTGACAGGTGAAAGGATATTATCTAACCACATGGCAGGCCATTGATTCAAGTTAGTTAAAAGTGCCAAGATTGGCAGAGCATGGCAAGCTGCTGAATGAAGACTCAGCTACATGCAGGGTCCAAGAGTGCCAAAAAGCTAGAGACCATTCCCAAAGCTTCTCCTTATACACCAGAAGCAGCCCACATCCCTAAAGCAGCTACTCAGCTGCTCGTGGCAGATTCCACCATGGAGCTGATTGCCAGTCTCATCATGGGGAATACTACCACCAGCTGCCCAGCCATTCAACCAGGCCCAGCCAATTTGAAAATTAATCTTAACTACCACAATTCTACCCCTTGTCAACTTGGCACCTGTACAGATCTTCATCGGGTGGCACCTATACAGATCTTCTTCCCTGGGTGGCTCCAATTCCCTAGTTCAACTGAGTGGTGACCTCACCCCCTTGGCCTGGCAGGCCCCATTCCTCTATCTTCTGGGCAGGGCAGCCCTGCCCTCTCACTCTTGGACAGCAGCTATGGCTCCATCCCATTGGCCCACATGAAAAAGCAGCCCCATACTCCAGAACCATGTTGGTGAAGGTCTGACTCTTTGAAACGTAGGGCACTGTGGTGGTTCCACCCCCGAAGGCCATGGTCCTACCCTTTGAGGCTGAGGCAGCTCTGCTTCCCATCTCCTTAGTCTTTCCACTTCTGCTGATTAATGATGAAGGCCACCCACTCCATCAGAAATCTTTCTGCCCCCAAAGCACTCAGCTTTCTTGCTCCATGGGCCAGCCAACCTGCTACTCCATTTCATGCCAGTCTCTTCTACCAATTAATGCCTGAAGGCAACCCACTTTGCCAGGAGCCACCTACTCAATGGCATCCAGCTTTCTCCTTTATGGGCTGGTAAGCCTGCTGCTGTCTAATGCTGGTCTCTTGGCTCTGCTGCTGCCGTCTCTCTGTTGGTGTCTCTCTGCTGGGTTCTTGGGTCAAGGGTGCACTCTACTCCTGTTCCCACATTTTAGGTATCTGTCAGAGCAGTACCCCACTCTCTTGGTACCATATTATGTTTTTGTTACCTACTGCCGATCTGACAGGACTACCACAAGTGGAATGGCTTTAACAAACATTAGTTTATTCTCTTACAGTTTTGGAGGCTAGAACTCCTTTGAGTTCAAAGTACCAGGCTCTAGGGGCTGGGTGAAAGGCCTTGACCCTGGGCTTCAGCTCTACTTCCTGGTCCTGGCCCACTGAAACCAAAGGCATCTCTTTACTCAGGCAGCTGCTGGCTGCTAAGGCTGACAAATCCAAGTTCAACAAGGGAAAAGGCACAGTCCTGATATTACCAAGCCACACAGCAGGCCATTGATTTAAGTCCATTAAGAGTCCCAAGACTGGCAAACCATGGCAGGCTGCTGAATGAAGACTCAGCTACATGCAGGGTCCAGAAAAACAAAACAAAACAAAAAACAACCTAAACCCACTGCCATCAAATCAATTCTGACTCACAGCAACCCCCATTGAGTTTCCAAGGTAGCAAATCATTATGGAAGTAGATTGCCTGGTCTTCCTTCCACAGAGTGGCTGGTGGGTTTGAACTGCTAACCTTCTGGCTAGCAGTCAAATGCCTTAGTCATTGCACCACCAGAGCTCCTTACATGCAGGCTCCAACCATGCCAAAAAGCTAGAGCCCATTTCCAGTACATGAGAAGCAGATCACATCCCTAAAGAAGCTACTCAGCTGCTTGTGGCAGATTCAGCCATGGAGTTGATTGCCAGTGTCATCATGGGGAATAACTACATCTAGCTGCCCAGCCACTGAAAACCAGGCCAAGCCAAGTTGACATATAACCTTAACTTCCACAATGTTTAAGATCTGTCTCAACTGTTTATTGTAAATAAATCTGGAATTGATGGATTTATGGGGCATGACTGACTCAAGAATGGGGAGAGAGCCTTATAGACTATGTAATTAATAGTATAAAGCAAAAAATGTACCAAAGACAAAATTTTGATTCTTATATTAGCATACATTATTCAAAGTCTTAACTCATATGAGTTATTCCAAACCAAAACATATTCTATTGTAGAAGAAAAGGGGCATTCCTATAAGAATGGGCAAAAAGAATTTTGGTAGTTATGAGTGATGTCATGAAACCAGACTCCAGGAGAAATGACTGATAGAAGGTCATTGCCATCACAGTAGGTTATTAAGTCAAGTGTATAAGACTAGTAGCTTGGACCAAACAAGGTAATGTGTTGCTTAGACAGTCATCCAAATGGAGAGGTTAAGGCAGTGCTTCTAATAGAAGCCACAGAGAGAAGTAGAAATTGGGCTGAGTCACCCATTTAAAGAGAAGCATGGATTGTGCCCAGACACCAATTCTGCTTGATCCACAGTGTTTTCTGGATGTGAATGGTTAAGCCATGGCATGCACTCTTTGGTTTGCCGCAGTCCTCACCACTCCCTAATATTACACGAGATTCACGTGTTTAAATAATCTTTTTGGTCCCTCTAGGGATTTGATTTCACTTCTGTGAAAACAAACAAATTAAAAATAGCAAGGAAATGATTAATTTTCTAAAACTAGAGACCAAGCAAACCTCTTATTTCATTTCACAGTGAATGGAAAACAGTCTCCACAGAAAATGATTGTTTGAAAACCTGACATCTATTTGGTTTAGACCAGAAATTAATTGCCCATACATAGTCTGTAAGATCAAGTTTCCGAACTCTTCTGTACCCTCCTGTCTTCTGCCTGGATGGGAGATACCTGTCATCTCACCAGGTCATGAAGATAAGACTTCAGCTTTTCATTTTATAAGACAAGTCAAATAGTGTTTCTTTAGGTGACAAAGTCCAGAGATGACACTTAGAAATGTTAAAGTACACAGCCTCCCTGATAAACTGCTCCCACAGGAGCAGTGGACATGGCCCTGGTGGGGCCTCACCTTAGGAGAGTGGCTCCTTTCCCCAGGCCCTGGGGAGTGGCTGCCGTGGCTGTTCCAGCTCCCTTCCTGGAAGATGTCAGGGCTCTGCTGTCGAACTTGGCGGGACACGATGAGGTGCACGCGCCTCTCACTGGCCTGGGTGGTAAAACACGGGTGTTAGCCACTGTCAGAACTCCCATCCACAACATACAGCACCAAGCATGAAGATGTGTGCTTGTTTTTACTTTTTTTTTTTTTTAATGGAAAAACATGGTTCCTCGTATTTTTTATGTCGGTTCTCATTTTATAATTTGGCAAGAGCATAAGAAGTATTTCCTTCACTGTTGGATTATAAGGAAGGTAATCATGGGATTAATTGTGCTTACTTAGTAATCTGAAGTGAACAATTTCACATTTTTTCACTACATCAAAGATTTTACTTCTAGATGTGGCTGGCATCTCACTGTCTTCCAACGTCACAGCACCTTCCCACAGAATCAAAGCCTTTTTTCAAATTTACAATCTCAAACAGGGACGGAGTATACTCAGAAAGCAAGGTAAGCACGGGCTTACCAAGCATGAGTTCACTATAGATTAGTAAGTAAGCCTGTGTTTATCTTGCTTATTGGGTAATCCACCCCTGATTTCCTTATTTCTTAAATCAGGTAGTGAACACTGCTCCATGGGAAAAACTAGCCAAGGGTTGACTCGTGGAACAATCTTTGAACAGACACTGCTAGACATTGCTAATTTATTTTTAATTAATGGCTCCACTGCACACATATCATGCCTGAAGTTCTTTCCCGATTGAATAGGAAGTACAGAGTAAATGGTCCAAGACCAAGGGTCAATAGTAAATAAAAAGTAATGTTGGGCATGGTGAATGTAATTAATATCACTGAGTTGTTCAAGTCAAAACAGTCAAAATGGCAAATGTTTTGTTATATATATTTTACTACAATAAAAATTTTAAAAAAGGAATGTTAGGATTAGCGTCAGGAGAATTAATGAATTTACAAACATGTTCATCTTTGGAAATGGGCTTCTGTACCACTAAATAGCACAGAAATCTTGAAATCGAAGACCCGAGGTGGGAATTTAAAAATCAGTGCTCTATCTATCTGTTTATTTATTTAAACCTTTATTGAAATATAATTCACGTACTATACAATTCACCCACTTGAAATGCATAATTTAGTGATTTTTAGCGTATTCACAGATACGTGGAACTATCACCACAGTTTTAGAACACATTCATCACCTCAAGAAACCTCACACCCTTTAGCTGTTGCCCTCTCCACTGCTGTATCTACCCCTCTCCCCAGCACTATACAACCGCTAATCTAATGCCTATCTCTATAGATATCCCTCTTCTGGACTTTTCATTTGAATGGAATCATATAATATGTCTTTTGTGACTTATTTTTTTCACTTAGCATAATATTTTCAAGGTGATCCTGAGATTTTTTACTTTTTTTTTTTTTTTTTAATAATATAGTTGTATGAATCACAGCACTTCAAGCTCTTGAGAGGGTGATAAGATTCTTTCAAATGTTAAAACAAAGTTGGTTTAGTATCTCAGTGCCTCTTGCTAGATGATTCCTCTATCCTCTGGCTTTTTGCAATTTAGGTGTTTGCCTAAATGATCTCCAGTGTTCTATTCAGTGAATGGCAGGAGCTCTGGTGGTGCAGTGGTTAAGGTATTTGGCTGCTAATCAAAAGGTCAGCGACTGGAAGCCACCAGCTGCTCTGCAGGAGAAAGATGAAGCAGTCTGCTTCCATAAAGATTTATAGCCATGGAAACCCTATGGGGCTGTTCTACTCTGTCCTATAGAGTTGCTATGAGTTGGAATGGACTTGATGGCGGTAGGTTTGGTTTTTGTTGTTGTTGCTGTTTTATTTAGTGAATGAGGGTTAGGGGACCCAAAGGAGAAATGTAAGGAAGACAAGGCCAGAAAAGTTACCCTCTGCATCTGAAACTAACAAATACCTTTCTGAAATGCATATCAGATCATGTTACTTTTCTGCTATCAACTATCCAGTAGCTTCCCATTGCACTTAGAATAAAGTTCAAATTCCTTACCATGGCCTTCTAAGTCCCTGCCCACCTCTCCCATTTACCCTTCTACCACTTTCACCTTTGTTCACACAGGCCTTGCTATTCTTCCTCAAACATACTCTGCTTGGTCCTGCCTCAGGTCCTTTGCACTTGCCATTTCCTCATCTGGAAATGTCCTTCCAATGCAGTTCATGGAAACTGGTTTCCTCTTACCAGCCTCTCTAAAGTAGCATCTCCTCTCCAAATCATCACATGATCTTGTTCACATTCTCCCTAGCACTTATCACTATATGCAATGATTGATTTTTCTTGCTCATTTACTTGTTGTGGTGTCTCTACTAAAAAGTGTGCTCCTTGTAGGCAGGAACCTTACTTGTATAGCCTCAGCACCTGGAATACAGCATGGCACAGGATAAAAACCAAAAAACAAAACAAAACAAAACAAAAAAAACCCACTCACTGCTGTTGATTTGGATTCGACTCATAGCGACCCCTCCTTGGGTTCCCAAGGTAGTATCACTACGGAAGTAGATTGCCCAATCTTCGTTCCAAATGGCACAGAATAGTACTCATTAAAATAGTACTCATTAGTCACCTACTGGGTGACGAAATGAAAGAAAAATGTAGGGACCATTAATGAGACCAATTGGCATTTCTACAAAGGGATTGGAGAAAACTTGATTCATTAAAAAAAATGAAAGTGTTCCTTCCGTATTGCCAAGAAGTTTTGGTTGCTTAGTGCCGCTCTGACAGGAATATACCACAAAAGGGATGGCTTTAAGAAACAGGAGTTTATTCTCTTACAGTTTTAAGTCTGAGTTCAAAGTGCCAGGCTCTGGGGCCTGGGTGAAAGCCCCTCAACCTTGGGTTTCAGCTCTACCTCCTGCTCCCGGCCCACTGAAGCTAGAGAGAGGCTTTTCTTCACTCAGACAGCTGCCCAAGGTTGCCAAGTGAAAAGGCACAGTCCCGATGTTACCAAACCACATGGCAGGCCATAAATTGAAGTCCATTGAAACTCCCCAGGTCAGCAGATCATGGCAGGCTGCTGAAGAACAACATAGCTACATGCAGGGTTCAAGTGTGCCATAAGCTAGAGACCATTCCCCAAGGCTTCTCCTTATATACAGGAAGGAGACCACATTCCTTAGGCAGCTCCCCAGCTGCTCATAGTAGATTCCACCATGGAGTTGATTACCAGTCTCATCATGGGGAACACTACATCCAGCTGCCCAGCCACTCAACCAGGCCCAGCCAAGTTGACACACTAACTTAACTACCACAAAGGTACTAACCAAAAATGTAATGTGAGAAAAATCATCTATAAACTTGGATTATATAAAGTCTCTAGGTCCTTCTTTTCAGCCCAATTCTTGACCAATCACCACCATGGTAGAGATGGACATTGATCTGCCTTCCTTCAAAGGTATGTTAGCAGACCATGAAAAAGTCAGGTCATAAAAGGAGGTCATGGAAAGTCTATGCTCTCTTCCATGAACTCAGACAATGGAAGTTGAGATGTTTTGTTTCCTGACTCTCTGCATCTTCCTTCCCTGAGCATGTAACTCATTTTCAGGAACAAGGACCTTGTCTTTAAAACCTTAAGCAATAACAATCTCACCAGAGAAATCAGATTCCTATGTTTGTCCAACACTGAACAAACCAAACTTTTAGGACTTTTCATTCTTACATCAATAAACATCTCTTCTCAGTCAACTTTAAACTTAACAGCCATAAGTTAGGTGATTACAAATTAGATTATTATTATTTTTAAGACAACAGTTAAGGCTCAGTAGGAGGCAGTGGTGGTTCAAGTTTAGAATTCTTGCCTTCCATGCAGAAGTCAATGCACCTCAGCAGAGCCACAACACCTATCAGTGGAGATTTGTATGTTGCTCTGATGCTGAACAGGTTTTGGTGGAGCTTCCAGACTAACACAGACTAGGAAGAAAGGCCTGATGATCTACTACCAAAAGGCAACCAGTGAAAACCCTGTGGATCACAACTATTGGGTCCCATTGTCCATGGGAGTTGCCATGAGTCAGAGGCCAACTCTATGGCAGGTAAGACACAGCAACACTCAGAAAGAGTGTCTGTTGTAAACATAACAACTGATAGGGGGCAGTGAAATTGATTTATTTCACATATATCTAGAAAATCCTAATGATCAGGGCTCAAAAGAAAGTTCAAGTCTTTTGTTCATTTTCGTTCATATAAATAAAGCCCAGTCATTGCTTCCACGTCCTGCCTTGAATTCCCTTGTGTTTCTCATCACATATACAGCCTGTGTCAGAGAACGAAAATAACAAGCCCAGGAAGCAATAATTAAGAAAGCTGACATGAAGCACCATGGTATTGGTCAACTAAACTCAGTTCCTGGAAAAGAATTTTGTAATAACCATGTCTCTTTCTTTGTACTTCAAACCTCCCTTACCCTAATGAGGTTATCATTGGGAACTCTCTGAAACAAAAATTACTAAAAGATAAAAAGTGGTGAACACTCAGGCCAACACTTTAATTGCCGAGCCCAAAGTTCCTTTATCTCTGAGGAAACTCCAATATTTTGAAGCATCTCAGAAGCATGTTTGTCTCTAGGCCTAAATATTTATTTTGAACAAGGAGCAGACACGTGATCTAAGCACTTCATAAGAACTGAGAAAATTTTAGACTTACTTATCATATCAACTTGCCAGATAAAATCCAAAGTGCCAAGGAACAGCGTACACATGCTATTTAATTCATGATTCTAGCACAAATTTCTCACTGGATTTTCAAATTCTGTCTTGGGTATTATGCTGTTATGCTGGCAGGAATAACATCACAATAGCTCTGGTATCAATTTGCTTGGAAATAAGTTCTTGGCAATGCTGAATCCATGGTTCTTACCAGCCACCTTGAAAAAGGTTCACACAGAGACTGTATTTGACGTGCTTTCTTGCTGACTGTTTGAAGATGGAAGGTAGAAAGTGTGCTAATGTGTTTGGCTTGATGCTGGACTCAGCATAGAGAAATAGCCCCCAGCACCAGTATTTCTTTCTGCTGGTGTGAACATGGTGTGGTGTGAGAAAAGGAGTGAGGGCAGCACACAGAAGGACTGAAG